TCGTAAATTAATTCATTCATCGTGAACCTTTGATAAGATATCAAGGAATTCCAGACCAGAAGAAAGACTCAATAATGTTTGTAAATCTTTTGTACATAGATCATTATTTGTAATACCTTTATTGTAAATTGTATTATTGTTTGTATATCAAATATATTTGTATTAAAAAAGAAAACTATGTGTATTAATCTTGTTCACAAATATCATAAATTGGATACATATTGGCATTTTTTTAACTTCTAAATCTAAATTATCATTTAATTCAGTTTTAGGTAATTTGAAATTGTAATACGTTACATGATAAATTGGAGGCTCCTCCGCAATAAGTTATAATACGCATCAGTTCGAGAATCTTTGCTTATAATCATGATTACAGTTTTTAAGTTGTTCTTTCTCGAACTTAACATGATTAAACAAATTCTGAACAGATGAAAAAAATCAAAGACAAAAATGAAAAACAACCTAGATGTATGTATTATTTATAAAGCTCTATTGTGGTTTCCTTTTTTTAACTTATATGTTCTTGTTTGGTTCATGTAGAGTTTGCCCTGGCAGAGTTAACTCAGAGTCAACATTTCAACGCACTAGATTGAGGCAAACAGAAACTTAACAAATGGCGACTCCTTGTTAAAAGTAAAGAATAAAATTTATTATCCTCCACTAAATTCCATTACACGTATACTTTGTGTACTTCAAGTAAAACACGTGCAAGCTTCACTGGAGCTGAAAATAAAACCTAAGAAAGTAATACCAACTCATGGATTAAGTGGTATTCTTGAACTCTATATGTTCTATATTTAGAGTATCTTATTGAAGGACTAGATATGTATACTACAATATCATTAATGCTTCGGTTAGGGTTGTACATTAGAATTAAATCTTATAAAGTCACGACGAACAAACTTTCAAATGCAATAAAACTTTTTCACACATTTTCAAGCCACAAATTAATACATTTTTCTGAGGTTTTTAATAAAACTGGTTCACACAATGACGTAACATTTACTTTAACTATACATTGAGATAAGCACAAACAATTTTCTGATGATAATTTATTTGCGAAAATACACATATTTTATTAATTTCATAAAGTGAAAATTGCTGTAAATTAAAATAAAATGAAATACTTTTCATAGTGCACATATATAATCAGCAC